AGTGATTCCTCTTCCTACTTTTGACCTATGGAATTTAAATCACGAGGCCAGAAATCTTAGAATGGGATTATTTATCTTTGGAAGACTGATCCCATTCCCAAATTTTTGAAAGAGGTATCTTAAGAAAAAGTATTTTGAGAAATGACAGGAGCTAGTACAGAAGCTTGAGTCTGACATGGTCTTTCTGAGAAAATGTCAAGTATTGAAAGTTAGAGTTCTAGAACAGAACTTCTAGAATATCTATCAGTTGATAAACACTATGCCATTCTCCATATTTTTACATGACTATTGATGATATTGAGATACTAAATGATTCCGAGTTGTCAAACTGATTGTACTCTCACTATCTGTGACCTATGTTTATACCCTCATCAAACTGAGCTACTTAAGGTCAAGGTTATCTCATTCATATTTATATATTCCTCAATTATTATCATTGCATATGAAACATAGCTAAATAATAATTACTTGTTGAGTGAATAAGTGTTTGAATCAACAGGGGAAAGTTTGGTAAATGTTAAGTAGAACTTTCATGTTCAGCATAGCTGATGTATCCCTATTCTTGGAAGGCTCAAAAGCCTTATATAACGTATGTGGAAACTCAGTCAGAATGTTGACTAACCAGAATGCTTCATTACCTTGCCAGATAACAAGAGTTAGATTTTACAAACTGGTGACCCACATGCTACATTTGGCCACAGGCATGTTTTGTTTGGCCTAGAGAGGCTTTTTTAAAATTTTCAAAGTAGTTGCCAACATGTAAAAATTGGTAGTTTTCACATTTTGTAGATCCAGATTTCCCAGTTCTCTTGGAAAACTCAGAATAACTGGCAGTGCTGGGCAATGTTTCTCCATAGCAATAGTTGCCTGGAGCCCCAAGACTACCACCTCACAGTTGAGATGGATCATGAGACCCCAGGTTCTCCATAGTCTCATTCTGGCTGGCACTCCTTATTTATCCAGGTTACCTGCCTGTTTTATGTAACCATCTAAGTTTTCAAATGCCTCAGATAGAAGCTATATCTTTTTCTCAAAAACGGAAAGTGGTAGTGGAGAAGGGAAGACATGAGAGAAGTCCAATTTTGATTTCTGCTTTATTTTTAAAAAATCCAATCTAACCCTTACTCAAACTCTTTTGTTTAGGAATTCACTTCAACACATACATTCTTTCCATCTCCCTTTGATTCTAACCTAGTGAAGTTCTCCTGTACATTTAGCTTGAGATATGCAGAAATGTCCTATCTGGCATTTCTATGTCTTGTTTCTTTGCTCTACAAATTATTCTACAAGATAGGTCTTGCCACAGGCCCTCAGAGATTTCCCATTTCTGACCAAATTAATTGATAGCCTATGGCTTGCATTCAAGTTCTTTCATGATCTGCTTTAACCTATGTTTGTAACCACATCACTCATAATGTCTTCCCATGTACAGTAAAGGAACTATCCACAGTTTACACATCATTTTGTTTACATGCTTTTATTTATCCATAGGTTTTTCTCTTGACCTCTCAACTTAGCATGCCTAATACTATCATAGTTCCTGGAAATTTTTTACCACTTCTCAGCCTAAAATATTACTTTTAAAAATCCTATAGTTATTTAGAGATCTCTAATGGAATCACTATTTTCTGTTTTGTATTATAGTCATTTGTATACAGATCATATGTAATAACAATAATGAGAATGACTATTCGTATTTTTAACAGAGATAGAAAACACTCAACCAGCATTAATTACAAGTCAAGCACTATTTTAAGTCCTTTGCATATATTAACTCATTCAGTAATCATAACTTTCCTGTGGGATTGATATTACTCTCATCTTCATTTTACACAGAAAAAAACTGAAGACACAAAGCAGAAAACTGTCTTGTTAAAGAACAAGGGGTAGAGATGACCTCATTTCAGATTTTATACTCTTTACCACAAAATCATAATTCTCATCAACAAACCTCAAAATGTGCCAGATACCACTGCTAGGAACTTTATTAAGATGATCTAATGTGATCTTCCGTAGATGGGAACCATCCAGAGAGGCCAGTGTTTGCCCAAATGCTCATACATTTTGATGACAGAGTTTGGATTTGAACTTAAGTCTGGAATCATGAGTCTAAATTACTACAGGTTTCTTGAGAGAAGTTTATTGTGTCTGTGTATCCAAATATCTAGCATATTTTAAAGTGAACAAACAAGCAAATGAGCAAACAAATGTATAAACATCTAAAAGTACCCTCACTCTTGGCTGGCTGAGTGGGCTAAAATGGCAAATTCATCTAAGTATTTTCACTTAAAAAACCTTGCACCTCACATCTCACTTTTTCATTTCTAATTTTTAGCAATATGTGAAGATTACAATGGGGAACCTTTATGTACATTGGCTTTCAATCTATGGCTTGGATTTAATGCTTTTTGAGAGGGTATGCTGGCTCTATAGTGTCAGCTTAACCCCTTCACATTTACTAAGGGAACGAAACCATTTCACATAATTTTTGAGAAGACATTACAGTTAACGGGTAAAGATGGGTAAGTATATGACACGTCAAATTTTGCTGGCAAGAATTCAGCATAAAAAAATCAGAAATCAGGAACAGCATTCTTTTTGATTATCCACATGCCTTAAGACAGGACCAATAAAAGAAGTGTCAAAATTAGTATCATCAAGAAGCACAGTTGTCTAAGATGTACAAAATAAAAATCCTTCTAACAGTCAGTTATTCCCTGGCTGCCAAGAATGATAAAAGTAGATATGTATTTCTTATGATTTTAGACTTTGGAATAACTTTGTTCAATATAAATATTATGAGAGATATTTGAGCCATTCTTAACAATTAGCATAGTATAAGTTAACAAATTATGATGGAGAGGGATTGATTTGGCTTAGAGCAGTACTTAGGCATGCAGGTATTAGAGATGTAACACTGAAATAAGGGGAGCAGACATGGTGAAAATGATGCATAGTTTAGTAAGCATTGCCATAAAGTTGACAAAATGCATGAAAATCATCAGAAAGAAAGTCAAGGAATGCCCTGCCCCTGTCTGAAAGTTTCACCTGCAGTCTAGAGTGCTTCTGAAAACTCAATCCCCACCTGCCTGTGACATTCTATCAGGCTCTCACCACCTATGCATTCCACCTGACCTCAGCCTAAAAGTTCATCTGGTGACCCAGAGATCAGTCCACCCTTCCAATCACAGCCAGCATCCAAACTCTGGGGTAGCCTGACTCCAGCCCAGCCCTTCAGGACTCATACACACTGTCCAGTAGGCCAACTAGGGGCCTGAAAACTGGGAAACCACTTACCCCATTGCAACTCTACTGGCACCTGACCGCTTTCTCCAGTGCCTGAAGTCAGACTGACCCAACCAGCTAATACCACCACAACTAACACCCACTCAATGTGCCCAAAGATAGAGCCTGCTCCTTTTAAAGAGTGCTATCGCATTGGAGAAGAGATGGACCATAAAGCAATCTATATCATGTTGCGTGATGAACTTATGCCCTGAATCTACTCCCACAGAATCACCAAACCGGTGTTTCCTGTGGTTCTCAGCCACACTGCGGTTTGGAGATAGACTACAGTATGTGTCTGAACTGGGAGTCACAAGCCCTGGAACAGGGGTGTGATAGAGAAACAGATCAAGTTACTGCCTATCTAGGACAGGAAGCTATTGCAGCCCCCTGACCTTCCTGCAAAGACCTTAGCACATTTCCACAGAAGCTTCTCCTAGCCATCCTCATCAGGACTGGTTCCTGCACTTGACATCAGGGCATTCATGGGCAAGACAGGAGCTTCAGATTTGCCCAGTGGTGTCTTCCCAACCCCACAGAACAGGAAGCTCAGGGCACTAGGCACTCCACTGTCCAGCCCTTGACCTGAAGCAACAGAAAATGACTCACAGTGAACAAAGCTGAGGTACATACCTATCTGCTAGTGTCACAGCTAGCTCTTACTCACAAGATTCATCTACTGGCCTGTAGGTTGAAGCACACAGCCCAATATAAAACCTGCCAACAGAAAGTACATAGGGCTATAGAAGTAAAACCAAAAGACTCTATCCAATACACTCCTCTTCACGTGATAAGGAACCAACATAAGAATTCTGGAACCATGAAAAATCTGATCATTATGACACCACCAAAGGACCATTCTAGATCTCCAGCAGTAGTCCCTAACAAAAAATGGAAACTCAGAAATGACAGATCAAGATTTCAAAGCACAGATTGCAAAGAAGCTCAGTGAGATTCAAGACAAGGTTGAAAATCAACACAAAGATATTTCTAAAGCAATTCAGAAAATGAAGGAAGAGATAAACATCTTAAAAAGAAATGAATTAGAGCTACTGGATATAGACAACTCACTTAAGGAATTTCAAAATATATTGAAATTTTTATTAATAGGCTGGACTGAGGAGAAGAAAGAATTTCAGATATTTAAGACTGGTCTTTTAAATTGACCCAGTCAGACTAAATTCAGGAAAAATAACTTAACAAATGAACTAAATCACCAAGAAATATGGGATTATGCAAAGCCAGCAAACCTACAAATTACTGGCATTCCTGAGAGAGAATGATAAATTATACAAAACAATAGTTCAGGAAAATGTTTCTAATCTTGATAGAGAGGTAGAAAAAGGAAACCTCGTCAGACTAACCATTGCCTCCTCAGCAGAGACCTTATAAGCCAGAAGAGACTGAGGATTTAAATTCCAGCCAATAATTTCATATCCCGCCAAACTTTCTTAAGTAAAAAAGAAATAAAATCATTTTCAGACAAGCAATTGCTAAAAGACTTTACTATCACTAGACCAGCCCTACAAGAGATCTTTAAGAGATCTCTTAAACATGGAAATGAAAGAACAGTATGTGCCACCACAAAATGACACTTAAGTACATAGCCCTTAGATCCTGTAAAGCAACTATACAACAGAGACTGCAGAATGACTAGCTAACAACATCATAGGACCAAAATTTCACATATCAATATTAACTTGGAATGTGAACAGTTTTTTTTGACAAATCTTATTTTATTCAGATAGCAGTCTGATCACACATGGTCCAACAACACTCAAATAATAAATCAAATATGACTAGATGTTAAAGATTGGTCTTCAAACATCATAGCCGATGATGCCATGCTTGCCTATGATCTCTCCAACATAAAACCACATCAACACCTCAGTGGCCACCAAACCATTCAGCACAGCTTCCTTAACTGTGAGCTGTTTGAAGCTACCAGTCTGAGCACTATTGACTATGTTTTTCAGGCTCTGAATAGCTCTAGGAATCTCAGCAGGGGTGGGAGGAACCAGCTCAACCTTGGCATAGTACCAAAATGTGGCCAATCGAGGCTTCGAGTAAGTCACAGCAGCGTTCACCAGAGCCGGGGTCTTCTCCACAAGGTTACGGACAAATTGGGCCATGGTTCTGGGATGCAAAGTCCGTCGCCCAGAACATAGAATGTGAACAGTTTTAATGACCCACTTAACAGGCGAAGATGGTCAAGCCCAGATTAAAAAAAAAAAAAAAAAAAATCCATCCATCTGCTGTCTTTAAGAGAACTATCTCACAAATAACACTGCCCATAGCTCAAAGTAAAGAGTTGGAGAAAGATCTATCACACAAACAGAAAAATAAAAAGGACAGGGCTTGCTATTAGATAAAACAGACTTTAAACCAACAGTGGTAAAAAAGGACAAAGAAAGGCACTACCCAATGATAAACGATTCAATACTACAAGAAGACTTAATTATCCTAAATATATACACACCCAATATTGGAGCACTGTGATTTATAAAAGTAGTACTTCTAGACCCACAAAAAGGCTTAGACAGTCACACAATAATAGCGGGAAACTTCAACACCTTACTGACAGAATTAGATCATTTAAACAGACAACAAAGAAATTCTGGACTTAAACTTGACACTTGACCAATTGGACCTAATAGACATTTACAGAATGCCCCATTCATCAACCACAGAATATGCATTATTCTCATCTGTACACAGGACATACTATATGATGGATCATATGCTCTAATCATAAAGGCAAGTATCTATAAAATGCAAAAAAATCAAAATCATATCAACCATACTTTTGGACCACAGTAGAATAAAAATAAAAATCAGCACTAAGATCTCTCAAAACATATAAATACATAGAAATTAGACAACTTCCTCCTGAAAGACTTTGGGGTGAAGAACAAAATTAAGGCAGAAATAATTTTTTTTTGAAATAAAGGAAAACAGAAACACAACGTAACAAAATCTCTGGGATGCACCAAAAGCTGTGTTAAGAAGAACATTCATAGTACTAAACATCTACATCAAGAAGTTAGAAAGATCTCAAATTAATCTAACATCACCCCATCATCCTTAGAGGAACTAGAAAAAATGAGAACTAACCCCAAAGCTAATAGAAGAAATAACTAAATTAAAATCAGAACTGAATAAAGCTGAGACCCATAACTCCATTCAAAGGATCAATGAACCAAAAGCTGGTTCTTTGAAATGACAAACATCTATAGATTGCCAGGTAGGTTAACAACAAAAAAGGGAAGAATCATATAAATGCAATCAAAAATGATAAATGAGACATTACACCTTATCACATAGAAATACAAAAGATCCTCAGAGATTATTATGAATAACTTTATGCACACAAACTAAAAGACATAGAAGAAATGGATAAATGCCTAGAAACACACAGCTCCCTACGACTGAATCAGGAAGAAATTGAAACCCTGAACAGACTAATATTGAGTTTGATAAAAACAAAAAACAAACAAACAAAAACACTACCAACCAAAAAGAGCCCTAGAACAGATGGATTCACAACCGAGTTCTACCAGACATACAAAGAAGAGTGGGCACCAATCCACTGAAAATATTTCAAAAACTTGATGAGGAGATACTACTCTTTAACTCATTATATAAAGCCAGCATCGATGTGATACCAAAATCTGACAAAGACATAACAAGAAAAGAACACTACAGACCAATGTGCCTGATAACATAAACACAAAAATCCTCAACAAAATACTTGCAAACTGAATGCAGCAGCACATAAAAAATTAATTCACCATGATCAAGCAGGCTTTATTCCTGAGATGCAAAGTTTGTTCAACATATGGAAATCAATATATGTGATTCACCACATAAACAGAATTAAACAAAACCGTATGATAATTTCAACAGACACAGAAAAAGCATTCAATAAAATTCAACATCCTTCATGATAAAAAAGTCAACAAACTAGGCATTGAGGAAACACCTAAAAACAATAAATGCCATCTACGACAAACTCACAGCCAACATCATACTGAATAGGCAAAAGCTGAAAACATTCCCCTTGAGAATTGGACCAAGTAAAGTGTGCCACCCTCATTTATCCTGTTCAACATAGTACTGGAAGTCTTAGAGCAAACAATCAGGCAAAAGAAGGAGACAAAAGGTATCCAAAAAGGAAAATAAGTCAAATTATCTCTTCTTACTGATGATACAATTTTATACCTAAAAGAACCAAAGGCTCCTGGAACTGATAAACAATGTCAGTAAAGTTTCAGGATACAAAATCAATATGCAAATATCAGTAGCATTTCTATTCACCAACAATGTTTAAGCTGAGAGCCAAATCAAGAACACCATCTCATTTTCAACAGCCCCTATGAAAGAAAACACCTAGGAACACGTCTAACCAATGAGGAGAAAGATATCTGCAATGACAATTACAAAACACTGCTAAGAAAGCATAGATGACACAAACAAATGGAACAATATTTTATGTTCATGAATTGGAAGAATCAATATTGTTTAAATGGCCATACTGCCCAAAGCAATCCATAGATTCAATGCTATTTCTATCAAATCCCCAATGCCATTTTTTCACAGAATTAGAAACAACTATTTAAAAATTCATATGGAACCAAAAAAGAGCCTGAATAACCAAAGCAATCCTATGCAAAAAGAACAAAGCTGGAAGTATCACACTACCCAACTTCAAACTATACCACAAGGCTACAGTAACTAGAGCAGCATGTTATTAGTACAAAAACAGACCCATAGACCAATAGAATAGGATAGAGAACCCAGAAATAAAGCCACACACCTACAACCATCTGATCTTTGGCAAATTCAACAAAAAATTAATTCAAGGTGGATTAAAAATTTAAATGCAACAGCTAAAACTATAAAAGTACTAGGAGAAAATGTAGAAAATACCCTTCTGGACATCAGCCTTCACAAGAATTTATGACTAAGTCCTCAAAAGCAATCAAAACAAGTACCTGAAATAAAAGTGAAACCTAATTAAACTTAAGAGCTCCTTTCTGCACAACTAAACAATCAACAGTGTAATAAGACAACCTAAATAATGGGGGGAAATATTCACAAACTATGCATCCAACAAAAATCTAATATCCAGAATCAATTTAATATAATGAACTCAATTCAAGAAGCAAAAAACAAACAAACATAACAAAAAAGCTGACCTCATTTAAAAGGAGGCAAAGGACATAAACAGACATTTCTGAAAAGAAGACATAGATATGGCCAGCAGACATTTGAAAACGTGTTCAAAATAATTAATCATTAGAAAAATGCAAATCAAAACCACAATGAGACACCACTTCCCACTAAAAAAAATAACAGATGTTGAGGTTGGGGAGAAAAGGAAACACTTATATATTGCTGGTGGAATGTAAATTAGTTTAGCCACTGTGGAAAGCATTTTGGAGATTTCTCAAAAGAACTGAAAACAGAACTACCATTCAACCTAGCAGTGCCATTACTGGGCATATACCTAAAGAAAAATAAATTGTTCTACCGTAAAGACACCTGTACTCAATCACAGTATTATTCCCAATAGTAAAGAAATGGAATCAACCTAGATGCATATTAATGGTGGACTGGATAAAGAAAATGTGGTACATATAAACCATGGAATACTACACAGCCATAAAAAATAATGAAATAATGTCCTTTGTAGCAACAGGGCTGTATCTGGAGGCCATAATCCTAAGCAAATTAATGCATGAATAGAAAACCAAATACCACATATTCTCATTTGTAAGTTAGAGCTAAACATTTAGTACACATGGATATAAAGATGGGAATTACAGACACTGCAGACTGTTAGAGTGGAGAGGGAGAGAGAGTGCAAGGGTTGAAAAACTACCTATTGGGTACTATCCTCACTAACTGGATGAGATCATCCATACCCCAAACTTCAGCATCATGGAAGGTACCCATGCAACAAACTTGCATGTGTACCCCTTGAACCTAAAATAAAAGCTGAAATAAACAAAGAAAAATGCCAAGGCAATGGTGGTGTGTTTTCCAGTTCTGCATAAGATTATACAGGAAAGAGTGCACTAATGTCTAAGTCTGTGTTGATTTTCATGTGAGCAAGTTCACTTCTCTTTTTCCTAACATCTTGACTTTTCACAGTCTTTAGTCCCACATGGGAATATATTTTATTTTAGTGCTTTGCAACTTAAGCTCAGAACTAAAACATATTGTCCTTCCTGACTTTAAACCCATTCTTAATTATCTAGGTGGTAGCCCATTGCCAACCGAGTGAATACCTTTTTTATTTGTTTGTTTTTACAATATATGCCTATAGTTCATACATGGTTCTCTATTATTTTTGCTGGTAGTTTTCCTAAAGGCTAACAGAGAGCTTGGGAGATTTATTCTGTGTGACACACCTGTTGTCTTTTCATCACAGGTTCAAATGTTGCCCAGTCTCTGGGGAAAAGCAAATCAGCAGCAGCAGATGCTGTTTTCATTCTACTCATTCCAGTTTTGACACAATTGTTCAGAATATGTGCCAAATGTTAACCGCTAGCTCATTCTCTTTCCAAATCCATGGTAAGGTTTTCAAAACTGTACTCTTCATTTAGCAATCTTTTGTTAAAACTATGTTCCCACCATCTTATTGGCAGAAAAGGGAAAGAGAGCTAGTAAGGATTCCTTTTTCTAACTGCAATGGTCTTCCCCTGGAATTCTATCAGGATCTATTTTATGCAAAATTATATATTCATTTTTTTAAGAGGAGATAAACTGGCTTGTGGAAAAGTAGTAGTACCACCTTAGGCATGAAATTCAAGGATAAATTGAAGAATATAAATACATTTGTGTAAGAAATAAGATAATATCACAACCTCATCAGTTCTAGTATGATCTTTTGTTGGATATGCCTAGTTTTGATCTTTGCCTTCCATATTCCATGCTTCCTCTCCATGCTGCATACCTCAGGAGGGGTTATTCCAGAGGAATAATTCTCAGGGACTGCTTCAGTTAACTTATTTGTCACCTAGCTTCTGGTTGAGTGCAGCCAATAGAAAGCATAGATACGGGATTAGCGGGTTGGAGAACATTTGGTTGGGGTATTTATTTCTATTGAAATTTTATCTTCATTTATCATGGGAAGATAGTTGCATCCCTCTTCTGAAATGGTATTTGTAATATAATGGCTAGATTTACATAATAAAAACATTTACCTCCCCTATTAAAACATATGCATTTTGTTGTTGTTGTTGTTGTTGTTGTTGAGACAGAGTCTTGCTTTGTCGCCCAGACTGGAGTGCAGTGACCGGATCTCAGCTCACTGCAAGCTCCGCCTCCCGGGTTCACGCCATTCTCCTGCCTCAGCCTCCCGAGTAGCTGGGATTACAGACGCCCGCCACCTCGCCCGGCTAGGTTTTTGTATTTTTTAGTAGAGACAGGGTTTCACCGTGTTAGCCAGGATGGTCTCCATCTCCTGACCTTGTGATCCGCCCGTCTCGGCCTCCCAAAGTGCTGGGATTACAGGCTTGAGCCACCGCGCCCGGCCAATATGCATAATTTTCTCAAAACCTTGCTTTCACCTGCTTCATTGAAAATTATTTAATAAACCAATAAATTAATGACCTATAATGTCACAGCCTTTTCTCTGTTGTTCATTAGTTTGGTGGCAAAAGAATGGAGAATGACCAGTTAACTTTTGTGAGAGGGGAGGAGGTCTCATTTTCTCAATGTAAAATGTAACAGTGGGATGGAAGTTAACTTTTTGGAGATGTCTCATTTTTTTGCGAATGTGAAATTTAATTATAAGAGTGAGGTTTTCTGGGTCTTGACCAGTCCCTATGCATTTATCTAATATAAATCCATGTGCCATGCTAAAGCTATCAGTAAAGATGAGCCCAAAGCTGAGAATATTTGCCTTGTATTATTCATGGGAAAATCATTGGTTGAGGATATTTCTTGGTTAGAGTTATATCTTGGCTTTACTTCACAGATATGCTTTATACATATCAGACAATATCTGATTGACTCTATTATGATATTATTTGATTATTACATTATGGATTCAATAGAAAAACATTAATACCAGAAAAAGAGTGCGAAAGATAGTCTAGGTTTTTTGGAATCTCATAGTAATCCTTATAATAACATTGATTAGTAAAGGTCAATTTTGCATAGGTTACAAAAATATAGTTCTATAATCAAGACTGACAATAATCCTCTGCCTAAAATAGACACACTACTAGACAGGTTTCAAATTGATTTT